GTGCTTATAACAAAGTGAGCCTAGTTTTATTACAGTATATATGTACATGCCTTTCTATTTTAATTGTATTGTATGTGTGAAATATTAGTTAAGGGTATTAGATGTATAAATATTTTGTACATTGCCAATTGTGTGCTTGCATGTTCACACGAAAACAAAGTACTACCGAAATAATTCTCACATGAAATAGCAGAATTTGGCTCGCATATAATTATGAATTGTACTCAGTTGGAAAAGTCAGGCCTTGGTATTTCACTATTTAATTCTGTGTATAATTTGTATAAGTTTTTGCCACAAATTATCAAATAAATTAATTAATTTTATTATATTCATATCATAAATTTTCTTAATGATTTCTATCCACTTGAATTAAGAACGTTGAATGTTTGGAGGTGCAGATACGTAGATAACATTCTTCTCCACTCCTCCAAGAAACAGATATGACGCGCCATCTCTTGTTCATTTGCAATAATATTTGAGATGTATATTTTTCTGTGGCACAATAAACACAGAGGAAAAGAACATATTTTAATCTTAAGATTTCCCTATGGGCTAAAATCCAATGCATTCTTCATATGACATGTCAGATATGTGTGTTTCGTGAACGATTTTTCACTGATTTCTCAGTTAAAATCAGATTTAGATCATCTTGGCTTGGCAAATTTATTAAAATCAAATAAATTATCCAAACGTCTAGTTTAGATGGAAAACGGCCATAATTCTGAGATGAGATCACCTTGCCATTGCCAGTTCGACTGGCGGGCTATGAAAGTTCAACACGTAGCAATGTTGGCCGCTTGCGTACCGAATATCCCGTGACTTCCAATCTAGTGTTATTTATATTTATGACTAGAAGTGTATAATAGTATTTGAACGACACTATGTTCGCCATATCCATTGCCAACAAGACGTTTTGCTCAATTCAGAGCTCATCAGGCCAGCTGGGACACAATAAACCTAGGATTTTTTACAAATTGGGAAGAAATAAAAACTCTTACTTAGATCAAATTATTATTTCGTTTACCACAATGAACATGTTTTATTATTATGTTTGTTAACAAAATACAAACAAACTGAAGAAAATGGAAGAACATTGATGTCAAACGAATATGCTTCCTCATTCATCCCGATTTTTGTGTGTGAAATCTACGTCTTTTAGTCTCAAACTAGGTGTTGTTGTTGGTCTTTCTTTTATGTATTGCGTTATGACGTTTTGTGAAGATTTTGTACGTGATGGAGAAAAATGGATATCATTTTCAGATTCAGCGTACAGGAATTACTATAGAACATGTAAAAATTTCAAGACAATAAAACCATCGCAGGCCTGTGTAAGTATTATGGTGCGAATGCCTTTTCCAAGCTGACGAAGCATGATTATAATTAGTTATACTTGTAATAAGACAATAGTATTATTAGGCCTGCGTTCTTTATCTAGTCCCATACGGATTTTCAAAACGTAGAAGTTGGTATAATAAAAGTATTCCAATCACATTATTTTCGCCATATCCATTGCCAGCGACTCGCTTCACTAATCCAGAGGACATGAGCCCGACTGGAACACAATAAACACAGTAATAGTCGGAACATCATTTATATAAGCCATTTGGAAAAAGGCATTCATACCATAAGGCACAGTGTGACTGGAATACTATTATTATACAGCCTCCTAATTCTTGAAAAAATATAATTAATTATATCCGTGTTTCTCCAGCTTGAAAAAGGTGTTAATACCATAACAATTCGCTTCTGGTGACAGAAATTATACAAGTAACATAAACGAGTTTTGCTGTTGTTATTATTCATATATTTGACCTATAGTATATACATTGTCAACCAAAAACGTATTGAAATTAATGCTTCAAACCAAAAAAGTCGGTGAAATTTGATTTTGCTTATAGAAATAGAGACCACTAGCAAAAGCCTCCTAGTGATCAAAAAAGTAAATTCAGTGAATTCAGCAGTAACTGTTGCCATGTTACTGTAAGTTATTACCAGGTGGTAAAGTGAATACTTAATACTTAACTACGTTCACAAATTGATGAATATAAGGACTAATGAAATCCAGTTTTCAAGAACAGAAATCTGTTAACAACGAAAGATACATTTTTTCCTTAAGACAACCCTAAAGTACGAAAATCGATATGTTGTTCAGAAGATTATCACAATAATTTAACTGTGAATGTAATGTTTTTAATTACTTTTAATATTGGTTAAATTAAAAGAAAAACTTTTTGAATCATTATTAGCTAATATACCCTTCTTCAGTTTTAAAACAAAATATAAAATAGATGTTTCTTTTGGAAGAAATAAATTTTTTCATCATCTGATTGTATTCGTAGGTTCAAGAAAAGCTTCAGGCTTCTTTAGAAAAAGCCACTACTTTAGAAAAGGAACTAATGCGAGCTAATGAAGAAGTAAGTAAGTTTTGAAAAATAATTTCTGTCATGATTCCTCATGTATATACATGAATTTACACTGTAGGAAACATTTTACTGTGGATCATTTAAATCAGCTACAGTAAAGGGCAAGGCTTCTACTAAAATATGAATAACGTTTCATTGTAAGTACATTTATTTTTGTTTATTGTTTTATAAAATATTTGATGAAAGTCATATTTCTTATTTCCTTCATTGTTTTCTACATAAAATTAAAATCAAGAAAAATATAAAGAACTTCCTTTGTAATGTTTACCCACAAGTTTACCCACGTGTAGTACTTAAACCAGTATATAGAATAAGGAACTATTTTGTACTGAAAGATGGAATTTGCAAAGCGGATTGATCACATGTCATCTACAGATATCAGTGGTTTGTTTGTCATAGTGCGTATATAGAGGGTCGACGGTGAGTTCTGTCGGAATTATTATGTTTAGTACAGATATCAATTATAAAACTAAAATAACCTCCTTCTTCAAATGTGTTTAATATGTGCTTCAAAAGCAAAGTAATTTAACATGGTCCTGATATGTATTATGAAGCTTCAGAGTTAATTTTTTACCGAGGCAAGAAGAGAAACACAAATAAATATTTGAGATGCACTCTTTACTCTTCAAACACTGGGAGTTGTTTGCTTCAATGACAGTGTTGTATGCTCAAAAATTTCTCTACCAACGATTTTTATCGGGTTTTACATAAACAACTGTTTCCTTTGCCTCCCTACATTATATGCTTATAAAGTGTAGCAGAAAGAGAGTTTTGTTGATACACCTTTCTCTACAAATCCGATTGCTCAAATAACCTTAGCATATAGATTAAACTGTAATACGAAAGACCTATTTTTTTTCAGGAGACATAGATCTATTTTAATAATGGCTGGAGACGCCTTGAATGGGTAATGAAGAAAAACTTTAATACAACAGCAAATGTACAGCGTTTCGACAAGGTTTTGTCATCATCAGGTACGTTGTCGAAACGTTGTACATTTGCTGTTGTATTAAAGTTTTTCTTCATTACCTATT